TCCATTTTTTCTTGTATTTGAATGGCTGTTATATTATGTTCTTTCTCTGCCATCTTTACAATCTTGTCATCTTGTTTCATAGATATTACACAAGGCTAACCCGGTCTTTCTGAAGTACTTAGGTCCTGATTTTCATGATATCTTTTAACCCAATAAATAGCTGTAGACTTACTACAACGTACCTGCTTAGCAATAAATCCAAAACTAAACTTTAAACCAGCTGGGTGTTCACGTAAAAAGACAATTTCATATTGTTTCTCTAAAGAAAGTTCCATTTTTCAAGCGAAAGTTTGATGATCATCTAAATTTTTTTTTGTATCATTGACACTTATAAATTTACAGGTGATTATGTATTGTATTACATTATATTTCTGGAAAATTTAAGGGGTAGTTATATAGTAATTTTGGACGATCTCAGACGGTCGCATACTTATGATCGCTACTGTAATATGCTAGTCACCGGGAAAAGTGGATTAGGTAAAACTAATATTTTGGCAAATTTTTTCTCGGTAATAAAGCTGAATGCATATATAAAGGTAAGAAAGGTGGCTCTAGATATATTGTATGTGATGATTTAATAGTTTGCAGTTATCATCCTGATGAGCCGAAGTGGGCATTTATAAGATATATGTATGGTATAATTTCAAAAGATCTAAAAACGCCTTACTATGAGAATATACAATTTAGCTATATATCACCAGAAAAAATTCCTAGTGTTAGAGCATTTTCGCCTGAGAGAAGCACAGCAATTATTTTTGAGGATATATGTGTGACTTCTGAATCCATCCAAAATCGAATTATTCCATTTTTTACACATGGGCGTCATAGAAACATTTCAAGCATATATGTAATAAACATTACCATCATACACCAATAATTATCTGTGAAAATATTTCACATCTAGTAGTCTTTAATGGTGGCAGTTCCCATCAAGATATTTTTAAGATTATTGGACGATATACTGAAGATGTGAAAAATACCTTTATGGTTGTTAATAGTTATCTTCGAAAAGGTGAATTTATTGTCTTTGATCTAAATAAATCAGACGATGATCCACTGGCAATTTGGTTGAGATTTGATACTCCATTAGATCTTCAAAAAGAGGTAGAGTTACGAGAGAAGCGAAAAAAAGGATCATAAAGATTCATTACTCCTGAAATTAAAGGTTTGATTTTTTTTGATGAAGAATCACTTATTTGCAATGAGAAAGTTGACAATAAACGATGATTGTGCAATTGCCGGAAAACATGGTAGGCTTTGTCTTTCTACCGAATATGTTAATGCTAACATTCCAATACGATGGTGATGTGCAGACGGACATGAGTGGACTACATCTCTTAACAATATCAAGAATGGTAAAACATGGTGTCCATATTGTGGCAAACAAGGCCAGTCATACAATTGAAGATGCTAAGAAAGTTGCTTTTAGTAAGAATGGAGAATGCCTTTCCGAAACGTATGATAATAGTTTTTCACCTTTATCATGGTGTTGTTCTGAAAGGCATGAGTGGAATGCATCTTTTAACAATGTGAAAAATAATAAGACGTGGTGTCCATATTGTGCAAATAATAGGCCTTGTACGCTTGAAGATGCCAAACAATTGGCTTATAATAGAAAGGGAGCTTGTCTTTCTGAATATTATATTAATAATTGTTCAGCTTTATTATGGATGTGTGATAAAAAGCATAGATGGTTTGCTACTTTTGATGACATTAAACATTTAAACTCGTGGTGCCCATTCTGCCCGAAATATAAAATTGTCACAAGATTTTAACAAAATATCTTGGCCCTCCTTCACTAATCCGCAAACCTAATTTTCTCAAAACGCCAGAATGTCCCACAGGGTTAGAACTTGATATTTATTACCCAGAATATGGCTTTGCAATCGAAGTACAAGGCATAAAACACGAAAAATATATCAAATTCTTCCATAATGGCGATCCCAATCATTTTATCAAACAGCAAGCGCGGGATCAACTCAAGTAAGAATTATGCGAAGAGAATCAGATTGCTTTAAGGTATGTTTGGTATTACGAAAACCCATATGTAGTTATTCCTGAGCATCTTCGAGAATTGGGTCTTATTGAGTAAACTCGAAACTTTAATTTCATTTGTGCGATTCATTTTTTGTGAGCCCACTCACATGATTCGTGGCTAAAATTGCAAGGTGGATTATGAAATCTATAAATGAAAGTGTAGATATGAATCAAAGTGGGTAATTATTTTATTATTTTATATAATATTTCCGAACTTAGCTACCCTCCCAGTGACAAAAAAAATTTGATATTACTGCCGAGATAAATTTTATTAATTTTTTACTATTGATGTTACAATTTTTACAAGCTATCCTCAATCACTTTCCCTATGTAATATCATGACTTTTTTTAAAAATTCCAAAGCAAGAAGTTTATTACAACATGTTAACCATCCTTTCTCTAATTCTTATCTCTATATGGATATTTTAACTGGCGAAAAAAATGCTCCGTTGGTCAAGCGCTTATGTCCTTTATTTAGTGCTTCATAGAATTTCATAGTATTCTTCTTGGTCCTCGCTTTCCAGGATAGAATGGTTTTAACACCTACTATTAATTTTGAAAACCCTTCCACTGTTCTCGGAATTTCAATGTGCTGTAAGTCCATAGTAATTATTATATTCTCAAATAAGTATTTCGATGCTGAAATTTTAAGGCGAAACTCATTGGACTGTAAGGTATATATTTCAATGTCTGCTATGCTGGATTTTGTGGTTGAGGGTAACGCAAAGTACAACGCCGTAAGTATGACTTTAGAACAGTACTCCAATTTTTGGAGATCCACTTTCCGTTTGACAAAAGTGTTTAAAACACCGTCTTCCTGTGCGATAATCTCAGTCCCTAACGATTTCAGAAAACCTTTTCCATCCAGCTTCGGACCACCACGACCGGCAACATTAAGTATTTCTTTTAGTTTTTCATACGATTTGATGCAAGCTCTCCGCAACTTAGCTTTAAATCTTCCTTTCCGAGAAAGGCATTTCTTATTAGCGGGGACCATACATATACACTGAACTCGTGTTCAGACATTGGTTGGAGCAAAGTATCGTTTTTGAATAGGAAATAAAAATGGTCGAAAAGGATTCGTGCAAAAATAAGGTCGTTAGAAGCAGTGGACATATTGATCGGATTCTCGTTTAAACATTTTGCTAACGATTCTAAATCTCTTATGTCTTGAAACTCCTCCAAGAAGTTCAACACATCTTCCTCGCAATCCACCATAAATTTATTAATAGATCGGTTTTCAGTAAAATAGACAGCTTTCGCTTCACAATCTTGGATCTGATCGGATATAAATTGTTTGAAATTGATCGGTAAGAATTTAGTACAACTGTTGTTGTGAATGTTGAGAACGCCAATTGATAAAGGGCTATTTGATATGTCTGTTTTCTTCATTTTTGAGCAGGCGAATTTCAATACATCGACATTGTCATATATCAACTTATCACCCGGCATTACTTGCATCTGATACGATTTTAAGACCTCATCCGCTAAGTCACGGTTTATGTATTTTCTGGTCGTTTTTTGACTTTCGACCTTTGAAGATTGGCTTGAATCAATGGCATTCGTATCAATGGGTGTTTTTTGTTGTGAATAAGTAGAATCTAGAAAGACATTCGTAAGCATAATGGATGTCCAAAACTCAGAGTCTGAGTCTGATGAAAACTCTGGAGAAGTTTCCGTGTTAATAGCTCTAGTCTATGCATGCATGTCAAAAAAGTTAATAGATGATTTTGCTAGCTAAATTTGATATATTATACTGACCTTATTTGGCGGTGTCGAAGGTAATTCCTCACCTTGTCTTTTTCTTGCTAATTTTTGGATATTCTCATCTCACACTGATCCTTACTTGGCAAGCATTTTGTTCCTAGGTAGTTTGCAAAAAAAATGATGTTATTAATAACTTCACTAAGCTTACCCAGAGCGTAGATAACTTACTTCTTTCTCTTGCAAAACAACTTGTGCAGTTTGAGTTTTAGCTTTTTCTTCTCGAATGTTGAGGCTATTTCAAAAATTTTGTACACTGAGAGAGTTGATAATCTCTCTAAAATTTCCGAGAAGTTTTTTAGCTGTCGCAGAATACTCGCCATCCTCAATGTTTCGAGCAAAATTTCCTCTGCCATTTTTCTTTGAGAGAACGTAAAATAGTTCTCTTTGAAAAATTTTGTAGCACTTAAATTCTTACTGACTTTTCCATTTGACAAAACTTCTTTTAGCGAAGTAACATACTTCTCATACTCCTGCATACATAAATATATATTAATATCGTGAGCCACAATTAACAAATTCTGTGAACTGTGATTATATTGATACAGACCATGATAAAGGCGCGTAAGAATATCAAAACGCGGAGTAAAGGTTATATTTTAGATCTGATGTTACACGTGATCATCGAGTAATGTAAAATTCTCTTTGCAACCTTAATTTTTCATAAACCCGGCGTTTCCTTAGCCTGTAAAACCCGAGGGGATACGTCTGCCTCTGGTGTTGCTGCGAAATGATTGTATAATGGCTTTCGAAAGATGCATAAGGTTCTGGTTCCTATAGCCAGCGTTTCCTTAGCCTGTAAAACCCGAGGGGATACGTCTGCCTCTGGTGTTGTCTGCGAAATGACTGCACAAAACTTCTTTGCTTTGATGTGGTGGCCTTATGTTATCCGGAGAAGTTTCGGGGCACATAAAACAACTTAGATATTTCCAAAGGAAACAAGTTTGTTAATTTTCAGTAAAAAAGTGGAGAAATGTCAAAGAGGGAGTGAGTACGCGGATCCTAGGCCATTTATGCAAGTCTCAGCATCACATTATTAATTTGTTCTCTGAATAATTTCTACAACTAATTTGTTTCTATCATTAATATTGCTATCTATAAGTTTCTCACACCCACACTCTTTTATTATACTAGATTTCCGAAATAAATTTTCCCGCACGTATCTACAGAATTTTTGTCTATCTATATCATTCTCACCGCACAGACTATATAAAAGATTATTTCCCCCAAGAAAACTTCTCCGAGATTAATTAATTTCGAATCTACAAGCATAAATTTGGGAGATTAGCAACTGAGATAAGAAAAAAATAATCAATGCAATATTTCCTATTGATACTTGCCTCTACGATATAACAAAGGTATGTTGATTTTTTATTGCCAGTACGATACTGCGCCAAATTTTGTTAGTGCTGAAAATCAGCCAAGCAATTTTACTGTGCTGATGAGACATGTGGATTTCGATTCATAAAGTCCCTATTATTTATTATTCGTGAGAATATATCCCTTCTAGTAATCTTTAATGGTGGCAGTTCCCATCAAGATATTTCTAAGGTCATTGGTTGTTATACCGATGATGTAAAAAATGCATCAATAGCTATCTCCGCAAAAAGGGTGAGTTTGTTGTATTTGATCTCAGTAGGCCTGAGGATGATCCTCTTGCAATTCGGCTAAGGTTTGACACACCATTGAACCTACAGAAAGAGATAGAGGTGAGGCAGAAGCGCAAGGAAAAAAAGTACTCAAGCTAATTCATGCAAAGTGCCTCTCGGTTAATTTTCCTCCAAAAATGATGATATTATTTTTATTATAATTATATTCACATTATACAAGTATTGGGTGATTTCTAGCAATATAAAATAA